CGGGGCGCGTGTCGCTCCCGCGGGGCGCGGAAATCGCCGCGGGCGCGGTACCCGCTGGTGGGGGCGCTGACCAGAGGGGCCGTAGCTGAGGCCGCAGAGATGTGCGTCAGGTGAGTCACCATCGCTCTTCAGCTCTAAGACCAGAGCGTGCACCGCCGGCAGTCTGTCTGCGTGCTGTAGCCGCTTCGTCGGAGTTGGGAGGCCTCTAGGTAGGAGAATAACCGGGGGGGAATGTAACACCCGTGAAACCGGCTGTGGAAGCGTGTGGGCAAAGCGTCACCTCCCAGGATCGCATCTGGAGAGCTTTCCGTGCTCTTCCAGCTTCGGAGGCGGGAGGGAGAGCCACTGCGGATGAATACCCATTCCCTCGCTAGCCTCCGGAGTGGCTGGTGAGTGGAAGATAGTCTGCTACACGTGTTGGAAGGGGAACGACGCATCACCCTTGTACCAGGTTCCCTTCTGACAGGGGTTCTGTTTTATCTTAGACACCATGCCTGCCCTCAGACCTCTCGTGAAACCTAAAATTGTCAAGAAGAGGACCAAGAAGTTCATCCGCCATCAGTCCGATCGCTATGTCAAGATCAAGGTAAAAGGTCACTGGAAATTCATTAAAAAATAAATTCTGGGATGGGATGGGGGTCGCCTTCCGGGTTGATGGCGAATTAAAGCATAAAGGGTCAGTACTGAAATGGCATTGATGCTGGAACGGCCTGGCATGGGGGATCTTTTTGGAGACTGGTTTTGGCTAGAGCCGTTACCTCGTGCCGGGCATTTTCAGACTGATGTTGTTCCATAACTTCAATATTTTCTGCCATTTCTTCAGCGCAACTGGCGTAAGCCGAGGGGTATTGACAACAGAGTTCGCAGGCGGTTCAAGGGTCAGATCCTGATGCCCAACATTGGCTATGGCAGCAATAAGAAGACAAAGCACATGCTGCCCACAGGGTTCAGGAAGTTCCTGGTCCACAACGTCAAAGAGCTGGAAGTGCTTATGATGAGCAACAAGTAAGTCTGCAGGACCTGTGCACTCCCCGCCTTGTGCAGAGCAGTCACTGGCAGCTCTGCTGCCTACGCTGGGGCTGTATGCTGCTCGTCCCCTCACGCTGCTGGATCGGGAAACGAAAAGGTGGCGCGGTTGGGGTGAGACATAGGTGGGAGACAAGGGAAGTTCTCGCTTTTAAGAGCACGAAAGTTGTCTTGATTCCTTTAGTGCTGCAGTGCTGCAGGCAGGAGGGCACAGAGAGCGTCCTGGGGCAGGCAAACGCCTGTCTTTGGCAAAAATGCATTACAGCGGTGAACAGCACTGTACCTACACCACCTTGATGAAACAGTGATTGGAATTTTGGCTTCGTATCTGCTCAGACACAGGCCTAAATCTACTTGTAGCACTTGCTTTCAGAGCAAGGTCATTAGAGTAATAACACCATTAAAAACTACTTCTTGCTGACTCTTCCTTTGTAAGAAGCAAAGGGAGCTGTCGTGGAGGGGAGCTCCTGCTTCAGACCGGAACACGTTGGGCTGGGCCATGGGGCGGGACTTGTGGTTCAGCTTGTGTGCTGTGCCGCCTCTGAGCGGTGCTGGCTCTGCAGCGCTCGGCCTTGGCTGCTGCTGGCGATGTTGGAGCCAAGCCTGATGCGCAGTCTGTGTCCGCCAGGTCATACTGCGCAGAGATTGCTCACAACGTGTCTTCTAAGAACCGGAAGGTCATCGTGGAGAGAGCCGCTCAGCTCGCCATCAAGATCACCAATCCCAATGCCAGACTGCGCAGCGAGGAGAATGAGTAGACTGGCTTCTGCATCCAAGGTGTATTTAATAAAGTATAAAACCAAACGCTGGTGGGTGTTTTGAATGTCCCCAGGGAGGGACTTGGGCTTGGTGCCTGTGTGCAGGTGGGGCAGCAGCCCGCTGCTGGGTTTCCCCTGCAACCGTGGTGTGAGCCTGGTTGTCCAAGGGTGCACTCGCAGTGGCGATCTCTGACGGCCTTGTGACAGCTAATGAGTTCAGGAGTGCACACAGTTTCACAAGAGTATTTTTATTTTTTATACCACTCAAACAGACTGTAAGTTCTTTCACACAGCACTATAAATACTCTTCACATCAACCACTCTCGTCAAAAAAGGAGAGATGAAAGCTTATTCCAGGTCCGTGGCTACAAGAAGGGTATCATGGTGGCCTTGTTCTCTAGCTTGCTGTTACATCCTCTGTCTCTTAAGGTGCTTTTTCCTACGCAAAGCAGCATTTGAAGACAACAGCCACTCTTTAAGTTTTCCAGTGCCAGAAGGGTTAGTGTCTGGTTGCACCCCTGGTTGGTGACTTTCACTGCTTCTCTGACATCAAAATGCTGAATACCAGCTCTCCTGCCACTGCCTGCTGCTGCTTAGTGAGCTGTAGTCGGCGTGGCTGGTGGGTCAACACACTCCCCGAGCTGCTGGAGCAGGGAAAGATAAGCCAATGTTAAATGGAAAGAAAAGCTTAGCATAACGTTTGTTGCGGTGACACAAGCTGATCCTGTCTTGCTGAAGGTGGCTGGTTGAGGTATTCTGCAGTCATAACTGTAACGGGAAGTCCAGCAGGACAGCTTTGTATCACCTAGAAACAGGAGGGGTGCCCGTTGGGTGAACTGAGCCCTTGGGTGGCAAGCCTGGCTAACAACTACCCCCTGCGGCTCCTGCAGCGTGGCTGATGCAAGTCTGCTCAAAACAGACCATAATGAGCTGTAAGCATCACATCCACAAAGATGGGACTATAGTTTTCAGCCATGTTATTTAGTGAAACAATATAAATACATTCTTCAGGCAATTAGGGGTAGAAAGTGCATGTGCAGTGGTTAAAAAAAAATCACTTTTCTTTGTACTGCAGTAAGGAAACATTTCAGGAAGTAGTTTCCGGTTTTCATGGAACCACACTCTATTTGGATTGCTTTGTATGCCCCTTACAAACTTGCTCGTTTTCCAACACACACACACCCCTCCCATAAGGGCAATTTTCCCTTATCTCACAAATCTCACTCTGATTCAGTGAGGTGGCTGACGCTCCAAGCGCAGCTGGAACCAGCCCTTTTCTCCTGCTGGAGCCCTGGGACTTGCCAGTGCCTATGGCAGCAGAGACGAGCTGGGTGATACCCCTCCTTGGTACAGAGGAGCTGGGTGAAACTCCGGGGCCCGTCTGCGGCGCCTGTTCAGTTAACGCATTGCGAGGGCAGGAAGGTGGTGGAGCGAACATCTTAGCTCATGTCCATTGACTCTGAGGTGGGTAGGGAGGCTGAATCTTTCTGAATGCTCTCAAAAAGTGATGCCATTTCAGGATTGGATTTGATCTGAGATGAAAACTCGGCCATCACTGGACTCTTCTCTACTTCAGGGATGGTCAGCAGAGCAGCTACTGCTCTCATGGCGGATCTCTTCAGTTCTTCCTGCTTCTCAAACTCCTGTTTTACAGACCCAGCTTTTACCTACAAATCCAAAGCACCATTGTCAGTTGGCATTTAGAAAAGACAGCAGAGGCACACAGAATCGGACACGCCAGCAGTGAGACGAGCAGATTATTTTCTAACCAGAGGAGTCGGCGGCAATGACAGAGAAGGCCAGGAGCACAGGTGGCTTGGTGGCAGAACCCACCCCCCATGTGTCATGCTCGGCCTGCCCTTACCTTTGTGGAGCAGGTTGCCCGGAGTGGCTCAATGAGTCGCTCGAGCCGCTGCAGCACGGCGCTGGGACAGAGCGTGGACAGCCGAGCCAGCATGATGAACGTCAGCATCTAGAGAGGAGGAAGGATAAACCCGGCGTTGCTTCACCGCTCCCTCTGACCCGCCCCAGCCATGGAGCGTGGCTCCTCTCTGCCAAAGCCTGCTTCCTCTGTGGTAGAGTGGTGAGTCTCTTGGCACGCGTGCGAGGGGTTTTTAGTAAGAGCTTCGTTTGTACTGAAGTGCACCCACCGGCACCCAAGCGCAAGGGCTGCCAGTGCGTGCGGCGCCCTGCTCGCGTGTGTCTGCACAGGGCTGGCGGCCTTTGAGGGAAAAGCCAATGTGCGGCACAGGGATTGTGCCGCTGCTGTCTACGTGGAGGTAAATCATAGTATGAAAAGGATGTAGCACTTCCTGTTAAGCTATGAGGCCATCAACAATGACAATGCTAATATTTTTTAATATAGCATCACTGGCTGTGCTGAGCAAGTGACAATTCTAAGTTTAGAGGCAGAAGGAACTTATTTTAGACCTTGGTAAATTCCCTATAAAACCAGCTACACCAGGGTTGTGCTTTCAAGGCCACCAGTGTCACACTAGAGCTAGACAGGCTGCAGCAGTTGCAGAGAATAGGAAATAGCATGGCAGGGGCACCCTGCGGTGACACCAGCTCAATTCAAGCCCAGGCTCCCAGAGAACGAGTGACATCGGTGATGTCACCACCCTCCAGCAGTTAAGGCACAGCATCTACCCGAATGTCATAGTGATCCTTCAGTCCATCCTCCACGTGGTTCAGGTACTCGTAGATATCCAGTCGGTCGAGGCAGCTTTCCAGCAGCGTGTACATGCATTCAAAAGCAGCTTTCCTCACGTCAAGGCCGTCATCCACTGTGTGCTTGAATGGCCCCATTTCTACCTTAAACAAGAAAATAAATACAGCTGTCACCTAACAGCAGCAGGGTGACGGCATCACACGCACCGAGCCACTGCCGTACTGCACCCGAGCCGAACTAATGCCGTACCTCCCGGATGAGCTCCCTTCTGACCTTCGTTTCATTGTACAGGCTAGGGAGAACTGCATTTAGTAAATCTCGGATTAAAGAAGGTTTGTTGTGAGCAGCAGAGTTAAACATGGCTAAAGCCACACGTCGAACATTCAGGTCTGGATCCTGAAGAGTTTTTAAGAAGTCACCTGTGGGATGAGAACACGCCACTCAGTCCTGCTGCCATGCTTTAGAAGTACTGTAAAATAAGAACATTGCAGTGTATTTCAAGGAACCAGGTTATGAAAGAATCTATGGTCAAATAACTCTAGGGGCATAGTCTAACAGAGACATTTGAGATGCCTTCCCTCCCTTCATCTGGGATATAGTGAATGGAAGAAACATGACTTTCCTGCAAACCGCATGATTCTAGCTACCTCATCCTAAAGTCAAGTCAGAAGCTTTGGTATTCAAGGAAGTCGGTTTTGGGTTTTTGTTCTTTTCTTGCTCAGATCTTATCTGCTCAGACTTCTCTGACATAGAAGGCCCAGCTTTATACAACAGATCTGAGATGTAGGCTCATAGACACAAGACCTGTTTAATGTAGGTTATATTTTCCAGGATCCTTGTAGTGAGATGCCTGAATCATAAGGTTAAAGGCAGAAGGAACAGTGGAACGTGCCCAAGAGTAAGACACCAGAGCATTTACCAAGGACTCACGTAACAGTCTTGCTCTTTAATCCCAAAAGCAGAGAAACCCAAATAAAACCTAACTGGATTAGACAAGGTTCCCACAGGTATGAGAAACCCCTGAGCTGCTAATGACGCCTAACACCACATGTTCCCAGCTCACGCTGCTGCTCGTACTAGCCCACCTATGCAGCCTTTCAGGAGAGCATCAATAGGCTGAGGCTGGTCTGCGATTGTGAACTTGACTGCAGTTACCACCGTGCTCCGGGCATGTGGAGAGCCTGCGATGAAGAGGGAAAGAAAGATCAAGAGACAAAATCGTTGCTGTAACTTTGCAGTGCACATTCTGCTCTTGGTCACATTACATACACACTGAAGAATGAACAGAGGATTTGTCTTAACAACCTCCTTGTTTAAATCCTGCTCCCACACAATCTCCACGTGCAGTCCCCGTTCCTAACACCCTCCTGGCCTTGGCGCACACTGGTGCTCCCCTGATCGGCCCTTGCAGAGATCCTCGCTTCCTGCTCACCTCTGCAGACCGGCTTTGCTCCCTGTTGTACCCACCAGCAGCCGTTCACAAGAAGACTTGCCAGCAAAAGAAGGCATCACCCCCCTCTCACCACTGCCCTTCCCATTACCTGATGACAGCTGTTTTTTCAGCCGGGGCAGCAGCTCGGAGGGATTCACCAAAGTCAGCTTCCCCAAGCATTCAGCCACCACATTGCGCGTCCCTTCCTCTGCGCACTCACAGTGCTTGAAGAGCAGAGCCCAGATATCCTCCACGTAAGGTTTGAGGCCATCGGCCGGGGAGGAGCTGATGACTTCTTTTAGAGAGTGCAGCAGGAGGTACTGTCTCTTGGGTTGGCTTCCGATCTCTTTCAGCATGAAGGGAAGATACTCCTTAAGATTCCCAACACTGATGTTCCCCAATGCATAGGAAGCAGCAGATTTCACCTCTTCACTGGGGGAAGTGAATGCCTCCAGGATGACAGTTTTGAGCTCTCTCTGCGCACTGAGGTTCGTGGTGCGCCCCATCTCTGCCAGGGAAAGGAAAGCTAGCACTTTAACAGCAGAGCTGGACTTGGGGTTTTTTACATCGTGGATAAACTGGTTCACTATCGCAGGGGCTTCCTTTGGGCAGGCTGAGGAAAGGGCTGCCACGCACTTTGCGACAGAGTAATATGCCTGTTTGTGTAGCGTGGCTGATGTCCCCCCTGAACCTGAGGAGTAAATGGGTGCAGTCAGCTGCTTCATCAGCTCCGAGTAACCCACGGTGGCCATCTTCGTCAGAACCAGGGCCTGGAAGAAGTCTATGATGGCGTTCAGCGCCCCTCCTTGCAGCAACGGCGAGTGGACAAGCTGAAAGATTTCAGCAAGAACGGAACCGCTGATCTTAGAGATGCAGGATGGATAAACCTTAGCCAGAGTAGTAAGGAACATGATAGCCACCTGGGAAACATGCATGTCATTCTC